TCTCTCTGCTACTCTCTCCTTTCTGGTACTCTAGCTGCTTCGTCTCCTGCCTTCCAGCTATAGGGAGAATCTTTTGATCACCAGATCTAGCTGGGCTGACTCACACAGAGACGCAGGTGAGCCAGGTGCAGATCCCCAACACAAACATAAACACATCATGTCTGTGCACGTGCTGGGGGTCCTGGAAAGAGCACGCACCTCTCCAGGCCTGCATGAATACTGCGTGACCTTTTTGGGAGGCGCTGACCTCACTCCTAATGCCCAGCTGCTGGAGCCCAGCGGAAGCAACAGCAGACACACTGCCCATATGAACACTGGTTTCCAGGCACGAGGAGATCTGCAGCCTCAGCTCCAACCAGGCCCAGACATTACATCCTCCCAGAGCCGTAATGAGGTTGGCAGTGACTCAACCACAGCGCTGTGCAGCCAGGCCAACAGGGGTCACCTGCACATTCACTGGACTTTGTGCTCTGTGCACCTACTGTGTGCAGTGCCATAGGGTGAGCACACACAGCCCGGGGAGAGCCCTCAACTGTGCAGCCTGACATAGACCTGGGTCAGGGGAGAGGTGTGGAGCCCAGGCTTGGAGGACGAGACAGGCTAGACAGGCAAAGGGACAGTGGTGTCTCCGAGGCTTCGGCATCCAGGGCTCAGCCTCAGGCAGCCCCTCTGGGGGAAGGGGGATGTATGCGCTCTCGAGCAGTCCTCAAGGGGTCTTCCGCCTCGTCTGGGAGATGGAAGCCCAGGCAGATGTTCTCGCTGAGCGACCACCGTGGCACTCCCAGGAATGTGGTGAAGGGGGCTCTGGAAAGCAGCTCTGCAATCGGGAGTTTTTCTGTTTTTCCGTTGCTGGACCCTTGCACCAGGAATGGGGCTGGCACAGCCTTCGGTCAGTACCGCCCTGGGCAGGAACGGGGTGGGGTGACTGGGAGGGTGGGGGGAAAAGGGTCCTTGGGGAGGGGTCTGAATGGGGCAGGGCGAGGCCTTGGGGTTGACCTGGTTCTGCCACCACGAAGGGTTTGACGTCCCCCGCCCGCCTGGGGCTCCCTCTCCGTTGCTCTCAAGGTCAACGGCGGCCCTCGCGCGCTCCTCTTCGGTCGCTCCGGGCCCTCCTCGGTGCGTCCCGGCAGCGGAGGGCACCGCCGCCATCTGACATACGGCGCACGGCGCCGCTCCGAGAAAGGCGGCCCCGGGCCCACCGCCCCGCCCGCCCCGGGCCGGGCCGACCGGGGAGAGACGCCGCGGTGGCCCCCGCACTGCGGGGACGTCACCAGGAGCGCAGGGGTCCCCGCCTGGGGCTGGGCTGGGACGCGGCCCACGGGGCCCGCCCACCTCCGGGAACCTCGCCAGCAGCCGTCGTCGGTCCCGGGGCCCCGACCCCTGGCGCCCAGACTCCGCCCCTGCCAGCCCGCCGGAAGCGGAAGGGCGGCGGGGCTCTCCGCGCAGACGCGCTGCGGCGC